TCGGAAGTGGCTTAAGCTTCTTAGTGCAGTGCTTTAACCTGCTGTGCCACCAGGGAGGGCACAAAACAGATAGATTTTTAAAGGCACTGACCCTGATGACACTGATTTCAGATTTTTAATCCCTAAAATTATGAAATGAGACATTTAAGTTGGTTAAGTCACTCAGTATAAGCTACTTCATTACAGCAACCCCAGAAAAAAAATACAAGACTCTACATATGACTTACAGCAGAGCTAACATCAAAAATATAAATTTAAGGCCCTTCATCATGAAGTTGACACTTGGATTTAATGTCTCTAGGTCAATTCACTAAAACTGTGTTTTCTTAAAGGATCAGAACAGTTATTTCACCCTTAATGTCAGGAGCAAGACTAAGATTTTGGAAATATTCTCATAGCTCATCAATCTGATTTGTATTTATTCTCATCTCAACCATTAATAGACTTTAATAATTGCACATTTGAAAGTTCACATTTTATAGAGCAATTGTGATCACTTGGGAATGGTTAACCTGAAGTAGCTCCAATCTACAATACATGAGTATGCAGGTCCCCAGCCAGCATAAAGTGACTGTTGAGTTCAAGGCAGCCAACAAATAATTTAAACGGAGTTTTGAGAAGGAAATTTCTACTTTAATTAGTAAAGTAAAATTTCCTCTCAAGATGAAAATAAGTATTTCTGCTAACTGTATGGTCCCAGTATGTTCTTTAAATTTATATTTCTATAGATATTTTAAGCTGTGACATTCGATGTTTTTTATTCTATTTCTTAGCTCAGCAGTAGGATATACTGGGTAAGGGCATATAGTTACAGAGAGTCAAACACCATTAGTACTTATAAGATATTGCTGAAACAACAAAATCCACTAGTCCTGGCAGCCATGGGCCCTGTGTAACCCTTAACTTTCTTCTATAAAAAGAGGAGACCACCCCAATTGTTTCTTTCTTTGAGTATCTTCCACATTATTTGCAAGAATGTCTTTGGGGGCCAGATAACAATTTATGTAACTTAAAAAAAGTAATTTTTGCCCTGTTCACTTCACAATAATTGCTGAATTCTTGTAGATTGCTGTGATCATAAAAGTGCTTGACAAAACACAAAGTAAATGGGGCCCTCCCTGGTGGCGCAGCGGGTTAAAGCACAGCACTAAGAAGCTAAAGCCACTTCCACATGAGTTCGATCCCCGCCTGCCCCGGAGGTGACCACATGACGTGGCAGACCTCTCCTGACCCGCCCGCTGCTCCCCTCAGCAGTGTACCTTGTCGATCTGCCTGTTCTGCTCCCCACTCTTTCTGGTGAAGCCTCTCACCGCCCCTAAGTCTCTGGCCTGTTCCCCAGTTCTGGATGCACAAATAAATAAATCTTAAAAAAAAAAAAAAACAAAAAAAAAACAACAAAAAAAAAACACAAAGTAATAAATAGATATAACAGAGAATTATCCAACTAATTGCATTAACATCCTTGAAACAACTTTTGGGTTTTGTTATGATTGTATTACCTCTTTTTAACTCTTTAGATAAGAAAGTCATTTTTATATCTGTTTGCATTTTACATAAGTGTATATGCTTGTATATATTTTTAAGCTTAGGATTATAACTTATTTAATGTAAAAACATAGTTTCTGTTCAATGTAAGCAAGTAAAGATCTTTTCCAGCATATTATTACAGATCTACAGATATTACTGGTATCTACAATTCCTAATTATAAAAAAATTTAAAAATAAAAAATGTTTCTTTTAGCTCATTTGTAATAACATTTGATTTGAAGTGAAATTTATTGTCTATTCATTCCATTTATGTGACTATTCTTCATCTCACTGTAAAAAAATATGTGATTTTTTTTTCTCTCAGAAAGAGCTTAAAACACTCAGGTTAACAATGATATGGAAATTAAAGAAAAATATAATTGAGATATTTAAACTGTGTATATTTAAGAGCTAAAGTGTATGGTACAAATAACTTCTTTATTGAGAAGGAATAAAATACTCAAGACTCTAGTCTTATGTTTCAGAAAGGTGAAAACTCTTTTATTGAATGATTCATGGTATGTTCAAAATCAATATGGACTCTTAAGGGAGAGAGCACAATTTCAAAATGAACTCTAATTTTTCCTGAACAAAGGAAAGTAGCTCTGATTCTTCAGAACTTTTCTTTCATCAAAGTTGAACCATCAAATAATAAAAGCTCTGTGTCGTGGATGCTTATAACACCCTATTACTCCATGAATTGGCCTCAAGAAGTGTAAGATCATTGTCTATCTTAAGAAATAGAGAATTCGATTTCCAGATGTTGGATTGAATTTAGTATAAGACTTACATGAGATTCTTGACCTTGATATTTGCTCAGCGATCTTTCAAAACTCTTGCTTGTTCCATCCTATTTCTTTATAAGGTTCAGCTTTCCACCCCTTGGTTCCTGCATCATCTGGTGTTTCAGGGCAAGGTCAGAGTGCCCTGCATTAATGTTGGGAGCACAATCCTTAGGACCCATAGCAAAATGCTGTCAATCTCTACAAAATGTTGCTTTTTTCTTTTGGAAAAAAAAAAATCATATTTAAGCCAGAGACTAAAGAGTCAGCTCTTGGGTCCTTATTTATAAAATCTAAAAAACTTAATCCACCTGTTCTGTTTCACAAAGTCTCTCTATAATATGCAATATTATAGAGGAAATAAATATTTTTCATCAATAAACATTATAATGCATTAGAAAGCCTGATCAAAAGCATTCCTGCATAAATTTGTAATTAAGAACAGAAAGTTAAGAGTAAATTCTGTGACTTGGGTCAGCGGCCTCTTTGTCTCAGTTTTCTCACCTGATAAATGGAAGTAATACGACTACTTACAGCAATAGATTATTCTGGTGCTAAGTTTAAAACACTTAGCTTAGTTCCTGACATTGTATGTAAGAACTTCAGAGATGTGAACTTTTTAGTATTATTAGCAATGATAACATATAACACTCCAAACATTTTAGCTTGCAAAATGCTCCTACATTGTTTGACCTTATTCACTACTGTTCACTTCAGTGGCTGCCACATACCTTATGTTCTGTCCCCTTCACAGTCATGAATCTGTGGAAGCCTATTCTTCAAAGTCTCCAAGAACTGTGGGAAAATCTCATGCTCTATTTATTCAAAAGTCACTAGCCAGTGTGACTGTGACCCAGAGTATTATCAGGACTGTATAGCTCTCATCCCTTAATTTAAACAGCTCCATTAACTACATGCCTGCTGTCACTTTACTTGAAAAACTCCTTTTCTACTTCCAAAACCAGAGGCAGGCCTCGAAGCATCCACATTATCACCACACTTAAAAAACTCCTTTCCTTTAACAAAACAACACAGGGGAAACTGGAAGCCATAGTTAAAGAATGAGGTTGGATCACTCTAACTTCAGGCACAAAAATAAATTCAAAATACATTAAATGTAAGACCTATAACATAAAATATATAGAAGAAAGCATTGGTGAGATGTTCGATGACATCAGTTATAAAGATGTTTTTGGAAACTTAACCCCTATGGCAAGAGATATAAAAGGAAAAATCAACAATTGTGATTATCTCAAATTAAAACTTTTTTTTCACAGTGAAAGAAAATATAGATTAAAAATATATCCTACTGAATGGGAGAAAATATTCATACCTTATGTAACTAACAAAGGGTTAATATCTTAAGATGTATTAAAAACTCATATAATTTAACCATTAAAAAAACAAAGAAGACAATTAGTAAATGGACAATCGATCTGAAAAGACAGCTCATTAAAGAGGATACCTGAAGGCCAATGGACACATGGAAAATGCTCATCATTTTTTTAATAAGTTGTTGGCTAAAATCACAATGCGATTTCATTTTATACCTTGGAAATGGCACATATTAAACACATAAATACACACACATATACATACAGGCAACAAGAAGATTTGGAGTAAGAGAGACTATTACATTGTTCACTGTTGGGGGGGAATATAAATTGGCACGACTATTTATTTTAGAAAGTGGTCTTGTTTTACTTGAAGAATCTAAGCATAGGAATACCATATGATCCTGCAATTATACACCTGGGCTTGTGTTTAAATAATATGAAACCACCAACTCAAAAATTGTATGCTCTATTGTGTTTGCTGCAAGACATGGAAGCAACCTAGATGTTCACTGGTAGAAGATTGGGACAACCAACACACTATGGAATACTGTTCAATCATAACGAAAAACAAAATGATACCACTTATAACAAAATAGAAGTTGGATAACAAAATAGAAGAAGTTGGAGGAAATTATGTGTAGTGAAGCAAGTCAGAATGTCAAAGGCAATTTTATAGCAGACAACGTGACAATGCTGAATACTTATCAAAAATAGAGGTATCCAAAGTAAAGAGGGAGAAAAGTGGGAGGAAGTGTCAAAAAGGGCATAAGGGATGTGGTGAGAAAAGATTTATAGCAATATAATTAAAAATATAAAATTTCTCTTTTCAGTCGGGCGCTGAACTGCTTTTCGGATCATGTCGGGTGGCTCCACGGATTATAACAGAGAACATGGAGGCCCAGAGGGAATGGACCCCGATGGTGTTGTCGAGAGCAACTGGAATGAGTTTGTTGATAACTTTGATGATATGAATTTAAAGGAGTCTCTTCTTCGGGGCATCTATGCTTATGGTTTTGAGAAACCGTCAGCTATTCAGCAGAGAGCTATTATTCCTTGTATTAAAGGGTATGATGTGATTGCTCAAGCTCAGTCAGGTACTGGCAAGACAACCACATTTGCTATTTCCATCCTGCAACAGTTGGAGATTGAGTTCAAGGAGACCCAAGCACTAGTATTGGCCCCCACCAGATAACTGGCTCAACAGATCCAAAAGGTGATTCTGGCACTTGGAGATTATATGGGAGCAATCTGTCATGCTTGCATTGGAGGAACCAATGTTCGAAATGAAATGCAAAATCTCCAGGCTGAATGAAGCACCATACATTGTTGTTGGTACACCTGGGAGAGTGTTGATATGTTAAACAGAAGATATTTTTCTCCAAAATGGGTCAAAATGTTTGTTTTGGATGAAGCTGATGAAATGTTGAGCTGAGGATTTAAGGATCAAATTTGTAAGATTTTCCAAAAATTAAATACAAGTATTCAGGTTGTGTTGCTTTCTGCCACAATGCCAACTAATGTGTTGGAGGTGACCAAAAAATTCATGCGAGATCCAATTGGTGAAGAAGAAAGAATTGCCCCTTAAAGGGATCAAACAATTTTACATTAATGTTGAGATAGAGGAATGGAAATTGGATACACTTTGTGACTTGTATGAGACACTGACGATTACACAGGCTGTTATTGTTCTCTACACAGGCACAAAGTGGACTGGCTCACTGGGAAAATGCACGCCAGGGATTTCACAGTTTCTGCTCTGCATGGTGACATGGACCGGAAGGAGAGAGATGTTATCATGAGAGAATTCCAATCAGGATCAAGCCGTGTTTTGATCACTACTGACTTGTTGGCTCGTGGGACTTATGTGCAACAAGTGTCTTTGGTTATAAACTATGATCTACCTACCAATTGTGAAAATTATATTCACAGAATTGGCAGAGGGGGTCGATTTGGGAGGAAAGGTGTGGCTACTTTGTTACCGAAGAAGACAAGAGGATTCTTCGGTGACACTGAGACTTTCTACAATATTACAGTGGAGGAAATGCCAATGAATGTGGCTGACCTTATTTAATTCCTGGGATGAGATAGTTTGAATGCAGTGCTCGCTGTTGCTGAATAGGCGATCACAACGTGCATTGTGCTTCTTTCTTTGGGAATATTTGAATCGTCTCAATGCTCATAACGGATCAGAAATACAGATTTTGATAGCAAAG